ACTAAAATATATTGGTATATCATTTATTTAGATTGCTGAGGAAGGGAACACAGATTCTCCGAAACGTACAATAAATAATTATCAGAAGTCACTAGCGGATCCAGGATTTAATTTTTTTTGGGGGGAGGGGAGGTTTCAGCCCGAAAGATTTTTTGTCATATAACTTTTATTTTAATTTTTTTTTTTTTAATATAACGACAATTAATTTGAAAAAAGAGAAAGAAATGAACTACTTATATGAAATGGTGTTTGAGTGATTCTTGAAATCCTAATAAATGTAATTACTCAAACAATAATAATTAAAGAGATAGTTTTTAATTTTTATTCTATAAAACATGGTTATATTTGACCGTTTTTGGGAAGGAGGTCTTCAACCCCCCGTAGATCCGCCTGTATCAGAAGTTAAGTTTGATTTTTATCATACTGACCTGGGAGGCATAAACCTAAGAGTAAATAGACATTATTATATAAACGTCAAACATATTAAAAACTATAGAAAATTTATTTTTAGTTACAAAAACTAAAAACACATAGTGCACAGAATTTTAATGAGGATCGGGAAATACCAGTTTGTGAAATCAGGTTGTTCCCGAAAATCGGAATCCATTTCTTCCTTTGATTTCCTTTCCGTGACTAATAAATTATGAAGGGACCCTGAGGAATAGATCACGTCATTTTTCAATCCCTGCTTTTTTTTCCGTTTCACAAATAGCCGTTTCCCAATCCTGTGTAGGTGTACAACCAGAGGTTTAGTCATTCATTGCTCGTTAGTGGAAAACACTTTTCCATATATGTACATCTGGAAAATGCTCGGTTCTTTGGCCAATATTATGAAATTTTTACTCGTTGTGCCAATTTAAATCACTTACCTGTATTTTTTTTTAAGCTTAATGGTTATTTTGGGAGTGGTAATTTTTTTTATTTATCCTCCCGGGAATCCTACACTGATTATAATAAATTTCTTTTGTGGTCTATACTTTCCCTGGTTGTATCGCTTACTATAAATCCAAATTATATCCAATTTATATTAAACTATTATTATCTTCATTGTTAATTATAAACTTCAGTGTTAGTGGTTGTATCCGAACTGTAGAGGAATTACGGTGCTATTAGCGCATTAGAGGTAATTAAGAGCGTAATTCGTTAGTTTATTGTAGTCATTATTCTATTAAGACTTCGTTGTTCTCTTGACGTTCCTAGGTTCTCCTCAATTCCAGAAAATAGGCGCTCATACATTAAGCACTTTTATTGTGACATACTATATGTAAACATTATTTCGTTCATTTTGTTATTAAATGGTATACAGCATATAGGCTTTATATACATGGTGTCCTGTAAGTACAGAGGAAATATTTATAAAGTGATAACAGAACTCGAGAGCAACAAAAAAGATTATATAAACATTGGTTCAATTTTCGGCAGAAATGTAGGAAATTTAAGTGTTTTTTTTTTCAAATATAACAGAGAAGAAATATTTAATATTTTTAAAAAATCATATATTATTCGCGATTATTTTTTATAATCCTCCAACTATACAACGGATACCCCACTTTTAGAAACACTTTCTCATTTACTAATCTTTAAGCTCATATTAATTAAATTGGTTTTTACTAGAGAAAACATTTAGATTCGCCTCAATTTGTGTCAAAAACTGATGTGATTTTACATTCTATCACCTAAAAGTGACGGTTTTCGGCAAAAATGACTGCAATCAATTATTCCAAAATTATTAATTCTGGACAAAAACATAAACGAATAAACACATTTTTTTTCTAAAAAAAAAAAGAAGTCAGCAATAATGATTTATCAATATATTTTTCTTGTTAAGTGATTATAAAATTTTGTTTTTCACCCAGATCTTAGTTATAGGAATTGATCCGTATATGTGTGTGTGGCAAACTAAATGTTCCTGATCCAAGTGTTTATGATTTCATAAAAGTTATTAAAGCCATCATCAGTTTTTGGTGATTTGAAGTAAACATTTTTAACCTAATTTTTAACACAACTGGAGGGAGGTAAATCCCAACTTTTTTCCGAATAAACCTTAACTTAATTAACATGGACTTAAAGCTTATAAAACGAGGAAGTTTTTCTGAATATATGTTTTGGATAGTATAGTTGGAGAGTGATAAAAAAATTGCAAATAATTTATGATTTTTTTTAAACAGATTACTTATTCAAAAGTAATATTCCAATGAACTATCAAATTTTATTTAAATGCAAAAATAGTTAATAGTTTGATTGCATATATATGGAAATTTTGACTAAAAAAAAAAAATTTTAAATGTCATTCGTTCACCTTATGTGGACCCAACCTTTCCGAATTTTCACATCAATTTCAGACCCTAAATGTCGAACTAATATTTTAAAACTTACTGAAATATGTGAAAGTTTATATACTGGTACTGGTAGGGTGACTGAGTCCAGCAAGTAGGCTTATTGGTCATTTGTGCCAACCCCAAACACGATACACTTCCATCTCTGTCTCAAACCCTTTCGTTCTTCTGGTGAAGTTCTAGAGGAAGGCAATTTATGGAGGAAGCTTCCTGTTCTTATATTCTGTCCGGATCCAGAATCATTTAGCTGAGCGACGCAAACCGGCCACATCCTGTAATACATTGAAGGGCAATCCCTGGTGCATTTCTGCAAAATGTGCAGAATTCATCATCAACTAACCCGCAAATCTTTAGAGGTCTCTTAAATCTGCAGTGGCCTGTTAGTTAGTATCCCAATGATGAGTAGGATTCCATGTTTGTGGGCTAGCAGCCAGTTGTAGTTGTAGCCAGTATATTTCCTCCACTCCTTATCTACTCTTTTCCAAAACCAATCAAGGACTTCTTTTCTTTTCTTCGATATTCCTATCGCAGGTTCTGGACCCATAATAGGAAATTCCGTTCTCTTTCATACGAGGATGTCGGCTTTCTCATTGCCTTTAATTCCCATGTGACAGGCACCTACATTAGTTCCACCCTCTTGGCCAACGTCTGCAACGCCTGTTTACACTTCCGTGTGAAGGTCACTTTAGGGGATTCTAATGGAAGGCTATATAGCTTGAAGCAATGTATTAGGAAGGAAGGAACAATAAATGTAAGAGACCACTTGAGAGACCAAAGTCCAAGTGAATAGTTAAGATCAACAACGCTGCATGGAACCCAAGATAAGCAAAGGTGGAGAAAAGATCCCCAAAGTAATTAAAGGTAACAAGAGGAAAATAACAAACTGAGATTCATGTTTTATAATGTAGCGACTTATGTATTGTTATATAAATTACAAATGTATACAGAGAGTAAAATTAGATATATAATAGAGACGTAAATAAATAAAGTAAGTAGAATATTGAATGTAGATATAAAATAAAAATAATGAATATAGAAGCTGAAAGTGGAATGTTTGTAGACTCCCTACCAGGATTAAAATGTATCTCAAAAACGAAAAAAAAAAAGCTTAGGGAAATCAGTAGTCCTGTTGTAGAAGTTAATAGCTGCGATACAAGCCGAGAAAACACACCGGTATACTTGGAATACTTGATCAGTCCTGTAGTTAAAGCAGTAAGCAGATTTAATTTACCATTGTTGAATAATGTATCCCCAAGGAACCGGGATAGACAGAATGATATTAGTTGCTAACGAGAGTTTAACCCTAGCCTGCTTTCGGGTTTTTATCCCCAAGCTTGATGAGCGCTAAGTGATGGGACAAATTACAGAGGATTTATGACATCGTGAACTGGACAACCCATCCTGTCTTCTTTAGCCAGCCCATCCATCTAGCTCCTCCGGCGTTGTATCTCTGGGTGATCTGTCTTTTCAACCGTTTATGTCTTCTTCAAGGAACAGATTACCACTTGATAGATATGCTTTTTCTAGGTTAAATACGAGTGGTTTATAAAGTGAATTCGATGCTCATTTTATAACTAACATTGTAGAAAATAAAACGATTTTAAAACTGAATGAGTCATTGTTTGATTCTTTTGTCACATAAAACATTGTATCAAAATTAATTTAATTAATCTAAAAAATAACTGATCTCTATTATGTGCTCGTCACTTCATTTATTTATTTATTTATTTATTTATCATTTATTTATTTGTATTGGATGTACAAGCAACTAAAGGATTACTATTAGACGGACATTTTTATTTATTTATTGAGGATTACAACCATCTGTCACTTGGACATTAGCTATAGTGAGGTAGAATAACATTCACACCATATGTACATAAAAATATTAAGTAAATAGAAGCAAAATAAATAATAAATAATAATCATGAGTATATACAATAAATAAAATAAAATAGCTTAAAAAAAAAGAAAATTAAAACAAACCTATATACACTATTTACAACCAGGCGTGGGAACTCCGAGGCTCCAACTATGGAGGGAAAAGCTGGACTCCAGGAGAATCCTGCGCTACTCTCTCAACCGCAACACTGGTACTAAAGCTAGCGGAGATAAGAGAGGAAATAAATATATATGTAGTATATAAATATATATTTAATGTTTTGATAAAATAAATATGAATCTAATATAAAAATATTGGAAAAATATATTTCTTTGTATTATTCGCCTCTCACAAGGTGCACAGAATTGGAAAAAACTTAAATTAACTTTAATTTTTAATTAATTTTGAAAATATTATTAAATTTATAGTGCATGCAATCATTATTATGAATAAATTAAGGACATTAATAAAATGGCGTAGTTAAAGTTAAACTTATAACAAGAAATACTCTCTTTTCAACATCTGACATTCGTTTTACATGCTGCTATTGGGATATGAAAATGAGTTTGTTAGCACCTGATACATTAATTTTAAAGTTACTTTGTTTATTTATCCACAATGTCAACCTGAAAACAAATAATTTGAAATACAAAATGAGAAAATAATATACACAATATATTTATTCTTAGCTTGGTTGATCTTCAAAACCTATTTAAAATTTTAATTTCCCACTAACAATATTTAAATAAACTGAAATTAATTATTGTGATTTTTTTTTTCAGGAATGGACATCTTCAGTTATTTTCGCTGTTCCCGGAGATCTGATATCGAGTTCTTTTTCTACCTTTGATGCAAAATGGTTCGGGGATATGTTGTTGTGTACGGGCTATTAAGATATATCAGAATTTGACACCTTTTTATTGTGTTAACCATCATCAATTATTGTTTAATTTGATTATTTCAATAAACTATTAGCATTAGGCAGTTGATCTTTGGCAACCTTCCACTAAGAGCCAATCCTTCCTCAAGCCCACACAGACTTCATGACTGATGCCTCGTGGCTTCCCTCATCACAGCTGTTAGCTCTAATAGAACTTCTGCTTATATGGCCACCGGTATTTATTTGAATCCGTTATTTATCGGTTCCATCTTCGTAATACATGTGTAAAGGCAATATTCAGGTTTTTTTTTTTTTTTTTTCTTAAACGTGATTTAAATAATTTATCACCATTCTTTCTCTTTGGTTTTTATCTTTTCTGTGATTTGGGAAATTTATCTTAAGATAATCATTTTAAACTATACAAACCATGTTGAGCTTAAGACATTGATGGAAAACAGTTGGTTCTTTCCAGGCTGTAAGTAAAGTCGCACTATTATAAGTTTATTTAATATATATTTACAATTTGATTAAATTAATATCTTCCTGTGACAAAATTACTTAGGTCGCGCCTCCTGTCCCGAAACTTAAAAATTAGTATCTATAAAAACGTTATCCTACCTTTGGTTCTTTATGGATGGCGGCTTACATCAAGGGATGAGCAACGTCTTAAGGTTTTTGAAAATAAAGTATTGCGTAGAATAATAGAAGGATAGAAGAAGGATAAATTAACCGGAGAGTTCAGAAGATCACACAACGCCGAATTGTATCCGGTTAATATAATTGAGGTGATTACATCGCGACGAATTAAATGGCTCTGTAAAATTGTTGGATAAAGAATTTCTAAAAGGTTAATATTTTCTGTGCCGACTGGTAAACGTTCGAGGAGTATACCGAAGCGAAGGTGGAAAGATTGCGTTAAGGCCGATCTGAAGGACTGGGTTTGGACGGCGACCGGTGGAGGGAAGTGTGTAGACGGCAACATGTGGAGTCGGCATCGAATCTTTGGATTCGCTAAGCCTTTTATTATTATTAGTATATACAATTTGATTCAATATAGCGTTAAAATATATGAGATTGGACTGAATCTATATTGAATCTACTAATTCCTGTTAAATCTATCTAGACTTGGTATCATCCACAGAGTTTACATAGATTTATTTAAAGCATTACTCAGCACAATTAGAGATGTAAACGTAAACATAGTAAATAAACTGACTGAAACTACTAGCCAAACATGGTAACACAAAGCAATATTTAAATCGAATCAACATCATACAGATTTATGTGATGAAAAAGAACAAAATTCTAAACAATAATTATTTAATTTATTACATTACATATTAATGAAGATTACATTATTTATGGTGATCTTTTTATTTGATAGATAAAAATTTGATTTAATATAAAATACATTGTATAAAATTATGCCTGTATTTGAGTTGTTGTTTATTGTAGTTTAAGTTTCACTTTGTTTAAATTTATTTATTTTTAGTATTATTATTTTGCTGATGTTCTATTTAATTTATTTTTATTTATTACCAGTAATGAGGCTGAGTAACAGGCGCTGGGATCTCCTAGAGTCCTACTTTTCCTTCCTCGAGTGGGGGAAAAGGCTTACCTCGGATATCATGAGTTACTGAACTTCGTAAATATTGTATAAAAGCATGTCTATATTAAAGTAGTTATCTTGATTACTTTGTTTGTTTTGTTTTTTTGTGTAGTTTAGTTTATTGTATGTAGTGTGAATGAGGTACTCTTCTATCACTATTACTATTGTCCTTAAATGTGATATTTCTCAATAAAGAATTGCATTGAATGCTAAAAAAAATTATACGTACGGTGTAAATGAACTCTTGTCTCACTATTTACTAATGTCCTTAACCACAGAATGTAATATTATTCAATGAAAATATGTTAAATATATACAGGATGTCCCGTAAGTAGAAGGAAATATTTAAAAGGTTGATTGCATACATCAACCTCTACAAATAAGTTTATATAAATAATAATCCCATTTCCAGCAGAAAATTAAGGATTTGTGTTTTTTTAAGCGTCACGTTTTTTGTTGCATATGAAGCGATAACTTAAAAAATATTTAATTTAAGTAATTAAACATTGCTCCATAGTAAACTAGACAAAATTTTCTTTAAAAGGAAGTAGAGTTTGTCATTGTTAAAACTATTTAAAAAGGACTTTTGATAGATTAAACTCAGCTAAGTTCCGTTTAAAAAAAAGTCATAAATTATTTGTTTTGTTTTTTTCATCGCCCTTCAATTGTACTTGAAACATGAAAATAGAAACACTAAGTTTGCACACATAGAAACATTAAGTTTGTCACTCATAAATACATATTAATTCCCATGACGGAAATCTGGAAGAAAATAACAATTTCGAAATCACTTTACGTGAAAAAATCATTATTTTAAATTTGTTTATATTTAACAGTAAAATGTGTTTTAGGCAATTATTTTTATTCCAATACATCCTATATCACGCAAGCGAAAAGCAAGAAATAAAAGCATTGCAACTGTTAATTGTTGTATTTTTTTCAGAAAACAGGGGTACTTTAAGGTGACTGGATAGGAAATCACATCATTTATTTACATAACTTGAGGTAAACCTCAACATTTTTCCTCATAAACCTCAACTTAATTCATATGTACTTAAAGCTTATTAAACGAGAAAGTTTTTGTAAAGGTGGGGTAGATGTAGTACAGTTGAAGGGTGATAAAAAAAAAATCTCAAATAATTTATGACGTTTTTTTTAAACGGAACTTAAAAGCAGTGTTCAGGTGCTCAGAAGTCCTCTTTAATTAGTTTTAACAAAGACAAACTCTACTTCAACTTTAAGCAAATTTTGTCTAGTTTACATTAAAATAATGTTTAATTACTTAAATCAAATATTTTTTAAGTTATCGCTTCCTATTCAACAAAATCGTGACTCGCTTAAAAAAACACAAATCAGAAATTTCCTACTTTTTTGCTGGGAATCGGGCAATCGTTTATAAGAACTTTTTTATAGATCTTGCCGTCTACTATCAAGAATTTAAATACTATATAAAGTATACTCTTCAAAAATAAAACATGGTCTGAGATTTAACGACTTTTTTTTTTTTTATATGAAATCAAACTTTCCTTAATATATTTAGATATTTGACATATCAGATATATCAAATATGATTTTCCTTAATAAATTACCAGACAATATATTTATATGTTTATTATTTATCACCTTGTATTCTAGGACGTAGCCAAAGCAAAACAAAATGAAGGCGATTTTCTAAGTAAAAAATATTTTCTGTAGATGTCATTTTTTTCAATTATTTTCTTCCGGAATGTTTTATGTTTCAATTTTTTGAGAAAGAAAATTACAATTATAGTTTCTGTTGTGGAATTAGACTCTAAATTTTTATATCTTCCTACAAATATCAGATTTGTCATTTATGGTATTGAATAAAATATTAAACATAATTCTAATTACATAATATGCTAATTATTATTTTTAGATCTTGATACCTGATGACTTATCATTGATAAGTTATGTTATGATTAACCAGTTATTTTCAGTAAAAATACCTAACGTACGTCTTAGTGAAAGGGATCACACTAATGAATGAATTAGCTTCCACGTGCAGTTCTACAAGCAATGGCTAGATGGCAGCACTGACCAGTGGTTTTTTTTTTAGATTTAAATTAAAATATGACGAATACTGTTGACGCAATCGATAATGCCGATTTTCGTAAGGTTAGATTCGTACTTTCAAAATAAAAATAATTAATCAATATTACATTTTAATATAGTTAGTTAACGTGTATATTATTCTTGATAATGAACCCCTTCCCAAATATAAAAGAGTTTAAAATTTGGGGTAATTTGTCTGTCATATTTTTTACAGCAAAAAATTATATTATACCTATTTAGGTACCGCATAACATAATATTTTTATTTTAAAATGAGGTTTATTTTTCTTTAAAAAGTCATAAATGGCTGAAATGTGGGGAATGAATAAATAAAAATTGATGATATGTTTGCATTGATTATGATAATAAAAAGTATTGATAAATGAGTAAAATTGATGGAGCGAATGTTGGAGTTTTATTATTAAAAACAAATTAATAAATATAATAAGTAATAAATTGTATTGTATGATTAAATAATTTGTCATGCGAACTTCATACAAGTGAATATGTATCTGAGTCTTTTATTACATATCTGAACTTAATTAACGTGTTTTTGGTCGAAAGATAATTTGACTGGTCTCCTAATTTTAAGACTATTGCTCTTGCGCAAGAAACTAGTCTTGCCAAATGCGAGACTGAGACGAGTCTTGGTCTAGCAAACTCAGTCTTGGTCTTGGTCTTGGTCAGATAGGGGTAACCTAACTAAGTTCGTATGAAAAATTAGAAGAGTTAAATGCAAAAGTATACTGATTATACCAATTCTTTACATATATTAACTAAAATTGTCAAGTATTAGTAACTATTTTGCCTTAATTTGTATTCACAAAAATTATTTGTTTTTTTTTACCAGTCTTGGTCTTGGTCTTGCAACAGTCAGGCGGTCTTGGTCTTTGTCTAGCAAGACTTAAGAAAAAATCAATAATAATTTGACAGGGGAATGTGTTTTATGGTGTCTTAAACCATGCATAGCAAAAGGTAGATCATAGATTTTATAAAAATCTACTCTGAGAATTTTAAAATACCTAAAAGAATAGTCGTTTCTCTTTTAAGGACTGGAATAAAAGCGAAATATTTTGTCAGCACTAGGGAAATAATTCCACCTACAGGACAGGATCACAAAAACAGAACATATGCTCGCCGTTAGAGAGAGATTCGTCTATCTATGAAATATAGACAGTTATGATCAGGCACAAAGAGATCGACCTTTCTACATAATGGTATCTAATAAAGAAGCCAGCCTGTTTGGCCTACGTTGAGCATCCATACTGTGCCGAAGAGGGGTTGGGTACTAGGGCAGATATATAACACAAAACTGATTAGCTTGAATTATTTATCACGTTGGCAGTGGTTGCTATGACACCGAGGGTACGCACATCTCATTAGGACCCATTGTCGACCCGCGCCAACGATAAACCACTCCCGCTCTTCTTATTTATTGCCCTCGAAAATATATACATTTTTTATTCATCTTTTTCTTGAGGTGTCCTGTTTCCACTTTGTCGTACGGCCGTTCTATATTCTCTGCTTCATCGCCTGTTTCAATTATGCCTATATTCGTTACGAATGAAGAAAGAAATGATGTAGTCCACTCAATGAATGATTATAGAAGGAAATCGTGACGACACAATTTTAGACTTTGGGACATTGTTTGGACTAGTAAGGAGGTAAACATACTAAAATACAAAATTAAATTGATCTTATATATATTTTTTCGCTATCCCGCTTAGTTTTCGAAATATCCGTCCTCAACTGTCGCTAGTGTGGAAAAATAATACCTCTTGTTTTTTACTGTATTTGGCTAGCAAATT